GCTGGTTTTGAACTTGTGATCCTCCTGCCTCAGCCTTCCAAGTTGCTAGGATTACAGAAATATACCACTATACCTGGCTTTGATTCCTTCCTCATTTCCTCTTCTGTGAAGTTTCTTTCTTTTTAAAATTTATTTATTTATCTTTATTTATTTCTTGAGACAGGGCCTAGCTAAGTTTCCCAGACTGGCTTTGAACTTGTGATCCTCTTGCCTCAGCTCCCAAGTGGCAGGAATTAAAGTAAGCGCCATTCCCCCTTTTTTAAAAAATATATTTTTTAATATTTATTTTTTAGTTTTAGGTGGACATAATATCTTTATTTTATTTTTATGTGGTGCTGAGGATCAAAGCCAGTGCCTCATGCATGCTAGGTGAGTGCACTACCACTTGAACCACATCCCCAGCCCTCCCCTTCTTTATAAATTGTTTGTTTTTATTTTTCTGGAACTGGGGAAGGACCAAGGGGCATTCTACAACTGAACTACATCCCATCCCTTTTTATTTTATTTTGAAACAGGGTCTCACTATGTTGCTGAGTCTGGTCTTGAACTTGCAATTCTCCTGCCTCTGGTCTTGAACTGCTTGTAATTCTCCTGCCTCTGGTCTTGAACTTGCAATCCTCCTGCCTCAGCCTCCTGAGTCTCTGCATTTCCAAGCATGCACCACCATGCCCGGCTCTGACTTTCAACTTTACTCTATGGTTATCCTTACTAATGTTCCTTTTTTTCTTCATATGGCTTTGACTTACTGTATATTATTTTATGATTTTTTTCCAATTTTTCATTTTTGTAAATATACATAACAAAATTTACTGTCTTAACCCTTTTCACATGCACAGTTTCATGGTATTACAAATATTCATAATGTTGTGATAGCTATTGCCATCATCCATCTCCCTAATCCTTTTTATGTGTAAAACTGTATTTTTCTGTCCATTAAGGAATAACACTTTATTTTTTTCCCTAACCCAGCTCCTGGCCATGTCCCTTCTACTTTCTGTCTCTATGACTGTGACTACTCTAGGTGTCTCACATCAGTGGAATAGCACAGTATTTGTGTGTTTGACGGCTTAATTCAGTTAGCATAATTCCCTCAAGGTTCATCCATGTTGTAGCACATGAAAAGATTTCTTCCTTTTTAAGGCTGAATAATATTCTATGGAATCAATATACCACATCTTGCGTACTTAGTCACCCATGAAAGGGCACCGTGGTTGTTTCCCTGTTTTAGCTCATGTGAACAGTGCTGCTGTGAATATAGGTGCACAAATACTTCTTTGAGACCTGCTTTCAATTCCTCTGAGTATATGTCCAGAACTAGAATTGCTGGATCATATAATAATTCTATTTTAAATTTTTTTCCCATGGTGGCTGAACTATTTTATATTTCTGCAGCAGCAATAAGAGTTTCGATTCTTCCACATCCTAGACAATATTTATTTTGTGATTTTTTAATATAGACACCCTAATGAGCATAGAGGGGCATTTCATTATAACTTTGATTTACATCTCCCTTAAGATTAGTGATGTTGGGGCTGGGGATGTGGCTCAAGCGGTAGTGCGCTCGCCTGGCATGCATGCGGCCCAGGTTTGATTCTCAGCACCGCATACAAACAAAGATGTTGTGTCCGCCAAAAACTAAAAAATAAATATTAAAAAAATTCATTCTCTCTCTCTCTCTTTAAAAATAAAAGAAAGATTAGTGATGTTGACTTTCTTTCATGTGCTTCTTGTCTGTTTGTATATTTTCTTCAGAGAAATGCCTATTGAAGTCATCTGTCCATTGTTTTTAAATCTATTTGTTTTATTGTCCTTCCATGTCCTTCTATTTGTAGCATTTTGTATAAGACAGGTTGACTAGTGACAAACTCCCTCTGCATTTAATTATCTAGAATTGCCTTAATTTCTCCTACCGGGTGGTACCAGCCTTATTTGGGTTTGGGTCTGTCCTCCCCACCAGACAGGGAGCTCTGAGGACTTGTCTTGTGGACAGTATCCTCTGTGCTTTGCTCTGAACCTGAGCTCAGTGAAGGATGATTTTATGGACAGGTGGAAAGTGCTCTGAGTCCACCACCAGCACTCCTTTGTGTCTGAGGAGCTGGTCCCTGTCCCAGTGAAGTCCAGGGGCAGGTGGGCAGGGACAGGTGTTCAGGGCTTGGCTGGGGAAGGACCTATCTGGAAAGGTGGATCCTCGAGAGAGTACAGGAAGGGGTGAGGGTCACTGTGGTCAGTCAGCTTTGTGCTGGGGGAAGAGCCCTGCTCGCTATGACTAAGGGCAGAGAAGGAGGCCTCTCCCGGGCAGCCCTGAGCCACGTGGCACCACTGCCTCCTTCCTTGTCCTTTCCCTGCCCTTTCCCTGCCCTTTCCCTGCTCTACTCCCTACTGCTGTTTGCTGGGGGAGCAGCTGTGCTTCCAGGAATCCAGAGCTGAAGGTCAAAAATGGACACAAGAGAGAAGAGAGGGAATAAAGGAAGAATGGAGGAAGAGGGCAAAGATAAACAGAGAGAGGCCAGGAGGAGGCGTCACCTGGGAGTGACCCGGCCTGGGCCTTCCTCTGGCTCACCACCTAGCATGGACTGGAGGCAGGTGCCCAGTCCTGTGTGGATCACCCACTGTGGGTGATCTCTGACCTATCTGGTGGCTCAGTGTCCTGGGGAACCCAGGGGTCCCAGAACCAGGCCTCGGTGGCTCTTCCTTGGGCTGGAATCCCTCAAGAGCTGACCAGGGGCCAGGTGAAGAGGACCAGACACTGGCTCTTCCGGGCCTTTCCCCACAAAGGTGCCCCTGAAGACCGATTTTTGTCCGTTTTCAGTCTCCAGAGGTAGCCAGCGGGTCACAGGCCACCCTCCCTTTAGTCTGAGTTCTATTCAAGAACATCCCTGCAGGGGGGGGAATACTGATTTTTCTCCAAAACTGCCCCGAGGGTGCGGTTCCAGGTGCCAAATCCCCCAGGGCCCCAAGGCTAGGCTCTGCAGCCCTGGAGAAGCCACCTGGAAGCCCGGCAGGTGGAGGTGCCAGGGTCGCGGAGATGGGAGGGGTCCGGCCGCGGAGATGGGAGGGGTCCGGCCGGCGAGCGCCCCCTCCCCGTCCCCGCCGCGGGCGGGCGTCACCTAAGCCGCCGTTGCCATGGGCCCGCGGCAGATGGCCCGGTTTAGGGTTCCCGGGCAGCGCGCAGGGGATTAGGTGAATTAGGGAGCCCGATCGGTGCCGCCGCCGCCACCAGACCCTCGGCGCCATGGAGGCCCCCGGCAGCCCCGCCGACCCCGGAGAGGCGCGCGCCCCGCAGCCGGGCAAGTGGGCGCTGGTGCGCCACCTGAACCCGGCGCTCAAGACCTTGGCCGTCCTGCCGGTGAGACCCAGGCCGGCGGGGAGGGCGCCCGGCCTCAGTGTCCCCGCGGGGCAGATCCGGGAAGGCGTAGGGTCACAAAGCCCCGGGGCGTGAGGAAGGTCGACAGCCCTAGGGTGCTGCATGGGGTCCCTGACACCCCGACCCCAGCAGGAACCCGGCCCAAGGCAGCCTCCCTGGGCGCCATCTGGAAAGTTGGTGACCGAGGAAGGTGGGGGGTGGGGGGATCCAGATGGGCTAAAGATTTACCAGCTTTTGCTGGGATCCAGAGCAAGGACTGTCCCCAGGTGCACAGAGGGACCTTAGCCATCTGATTACCCATTGGCTGACTGCCAGCCTTCCGGTCCCCTCTATTTAAAGGTCAGCAACTGGACACTGCCGCTGTACTCATGGGTGCCTCTGGCTAGACACTTAGATCTCCCTTCCCACCTGTAAAATGGGGCTGAGAAAACCAGTGGCCCAGACTGATAAGGGAGACATGTGGTGGGGGCTGGGAGTCCACATTCAGGTGTCCACATTTGGCAAACAGGAACTGAGCCCCAAGCCCTGGAAGGAGGGAAAGACAGAAAGTGCTCAGGCCCTGTGGGAGTTCATATTGATCCCAGACTGGCCTGGGAGAAGGAGGGGAGCAAGGACAGCCCGCGTCTGCAAGCCTCTCTTTGCATTCACCAATTCCTTCCATTTGAAGTCTGATGAAAGTGAGGTCCAGAGAGACTGAATGACTTACCCAAAGTCACACAGCATCAGTGGCAGAACTGAAATTAGAACCTACTGTGACGGTGTGCTGGCTTTTCCGGGGGTAGGCCCCACTGAGTTTTGGAGTACCCTTGAGAATATTTAGACTCATTCTAGAAAGTTATCACTCGGAGACTGAGATCCTGCAAAGCTGGTGGGGTCCTAGGGGGCTATCTGCTCCAGCCATCCTTTTGACATCAGGAAAGGTGGCACTTGGCCCGAGTCAGCCACACTGAGGCATGTGCCGTGTCACAAATGGGATTTCACTTCAAGGTGAGGTTCCCAGAGGGGTGCCCATCACAGTGCAGGAAGTCATGCACCAGATGCCATCATGGTGGCCCGGGCACTGGCCACAGGGATGGGAGGGTTGTGGGATTAGACCTAGAGCCCAGGTCTCCTTTCCTTGCTGCCCTCCTGCCCTCAGTTAAACTTGGTTTTCTTTCCTGTCTTCCTCCTTCCCTTCCCCCACTCAACTAGTGATTCCCTCCCACCCTATTTTTGGTTCAGGCTCTGTTCTCCAGAGGCAATAGGCTTATCTCACTGGTTTGATGACTGTCTGAGCCAGGTTCCCTTTTCTCTTTGGACCTCGGTTTTCTCATCTATAAAATGGGGACCCTTACTTCCTGGCTACATGCTGATTCCAGGGCTGGCCCTGGGATCACACCCCAGATGTCCTGTGGTCTCAGAATTCCCCCTGAAGCCTCTTAGTTACCATTTTAAATTTCTCCTTCAAGCTCTGACCTGGAGCAGAAATCTTCTAGTGACAGCCTGAGGTTAGAAGAGTCTAGTCATTTTTGCTTGCTGCGTGACTCTGAGTACCTGGCTCAGCCTCTCGGAGTCTCCATTTCCTACTTGTTTCAGATATATCTATATTTTAAGTTGTAGTTGGACACAATGCCCTTATTTTATTTATTTATTTTTATGTGGTGCTGAGGATCGAACCCAGGGCCTCAGACGTGCGAGGCGAGTGCTCTACTGCTGAGCCACAATCCTAGCCCCTTGTTTCCGTTATTTTACTATTATTATTATTTTCCTGTGTTCCTTCAGTGGGAACCATCTTTTCTGTTTGCTGGGCCAAGGGACACAGGTTACTTTAGCTGTCCTCAACCTGTTGTCAGCTTTCCTTTGGGCCCATGAGTCACCCAAGGCCAAGGACCCTGTCAGTGCTTTCTCTCATACTCAGGGCTGGGCCCAGGGGATGTCAGGAGGGAGCACTGGGTCTGGAGTCTCTGGGGCCTGGGCCTCAGTCCTGGCCCTACCACAAAGCCACTGTATGAACTTGGGCACATTTTCGACTCTTGAGAGATGAAGTAGAGGCTGAGTGCTCTGCATGAGGACAATTCACGAAGGCCAGGGGAGCGTCCAGATGCTGCCAGGCGGGCTGCTCTCCCTCCTCCCGGGCCCACTCTCCCTGGCTCTCACACCCTCTCACTTCCACACACTCACTCCTCTCTGAGGCTTCTGCTGTGCTTGGCTCTGGGGAGTCACAAATGGGAGGCTTGGACCAGCCTCCCCTGGGTGGGAGAGGCCCAGCCCACCCTCTGTGGAGCCCCAGGGGTTACTCCACTCCTCACCCAGCAGCCAGGGTGGGGTTTGAATGTCAGTCTATCCTGACATTTCCCCATGGCTTCTTGTCATAAATTAGAAGAAAGTCCAACTCCTGTCTGTGGCTCACAAGGCCCTGTGTGACCTGGGGCCTGCCCTGGTTCCCACTCACTTCTCTGCAGCCTGGGCCTGTCCCCTGCCCTGAACAGGAGAGCCACCTGCAGGGGCAGCTGGTGGAGGAGACCCAGCAGGGGTGGGGCAGGAAGAGGTGGGGGTAGGCAGCCTTGGGAGGAGCAGTCGCTGGTGGGGTAGGAAGCTCAGGGCCCTGGAGGATGGAAGAGGCAGCTCTGGGAAGCACCCCAGAGCCCCAGTCCTGCAGCTGATGCCTGGTAGACCAGGATCTCCCCGGCTCCGGAGGCCCTCCGTGCTCTCTGACATTCTGAGAGGAAGCTTGGGTTTGGAACTCGCCTTTCCCTAACAGGCCCTGACTCCTGTCCCAGAGAAGCGAATTTCTGATGGGATCAGGAGACTGAAAGAGTCGTGAACTGACCTTGGACTCAAAGAGGGATGAGAAGACTGAGGCTCAGAGATCAGCTAGCAGAGCCTGGCCCGGAGCCGTTCCCACTGGGCCCTCTCTGGGTCACCCAGAATCAGTTTCATCAGTGTTGTTTGTAATTGCTGCTCATTATGAAGTTACATTTTTATTAGGATGTCTAAGTTTTCCCACACACCTGAGAAAACACCCCCCAAAAGAGTACTTTTATTAGGATTAGAATAAAATCTAATCTTTCACCCCAAAGTCAGCAAAGACCTTTGTATTTCTGGGCCGGGTCCACTCTGACCTTCATCTCTTCCTTAGCCCCTGTTGCCACACCTCCTTGTTGTTCCTTCCCACCTCCCTCTGTCCAGAGGACTCCCCTGCCCTTTCTTTGGCTCCTGCTTCTCAGATCTCAGCTCCAAGATTTCCTCTGCAGAGCGGCCTCATTGGCTCCTGAGACTCAGGGTGGCTGCCTGACTCTGCCGTTGGCATGGTAACTCCCTGGGAAGCACTCACCAATGTCCAAAGGGACTATGTTAATGAATGTGCTCTGTTATTTATTTTCTGTCTTCTTCAACTAGAAAGTAGATTCCGTTGTCACTGCGCCACCCCCAAGGTTAGGCCAGTTAGTGCCTTGGACACAGCAGGTGTTCGAGAGATACATGCCTGTCGAACACATCCGTGCTGAATGCGGTTGTTTGGCCTCTGTGAGCCTTCAGTAGGTGCTGAGAGCCAGGCCATAGGCCAGATGCTGCAGGGGACACAAAAGTGACACAGTGTCCCTCAAGGCTGGGGCTCTCCCCACGAGCCAGGAGACAATGTGGCTGTCTCTTATCCCAGGCTGGGCACAGGGAGTGTACTGAGAGGAAACTGTTACTAGGATGGTGAGACTTGACCCTGGAGAGATGGGGCCTGCAGCCTTGGGTCCCTGACATCACTCCTTGGACAGAGAGGTTGTACTTGGGTGGCTTGGTGTTTGTGCCTAAACTCCCCCAGTCCCTCATACACATGTAGCAGGCAGAACCATGGGGGAGCTGGGCTTTGGACGGGCCAGGGCTAGAGCCCTGCGGTGTGCTGTTCTCCCTCTCTGAGCGTCTGCTCATTCTTCGGTGAAGTGGGGAGAATAATGGCTGCCCCAGAGGAGAGGCGATGGCACGACCCAAGCTCCAGCCCAGGGCCTGGCACCAGGCGTTTCCAGCAGGCATGGTTCCCAAGCTTCCCTCTTCTGGTGGTGGGTGTGGGCTTGGGGGCATCCTGGAAGGGCTGTCTGTCTGGTTCGCCTCCTGCTCAGCCGTCCTGGGATTCTCTCTCTCCCCAGGGGGACTATGTGTGGATGGACCTGAGATCCGGGCAGGAGTTTGACGTGCCCATCGGGGCGGTGGTGAAGCTCTGTGACTCTGGGCAGATCCAGGTGGTGGACGATGAAGGCAATGTGAGTCGCCCCTCCCTCCACCTGCCCATGCGACACAGGCTGATCAGTGTCCCGAGGCAGGGCCCGGGAAGTAGCCGCTTCCCGAAGTAGTCATGGGGCACAGAGGCAGGGCCTGAGCCCCCTTCTGCCTCTCAGGCACCCACCCCATGGAGTGCTCTCCACCTTTCCAGCAGAAGGGGACTCCCCTTCCCTGCTGCCCTTTCTGTCTCCACAGCTCTTCCTTCCTCTCTGCCGGGGACTGGGGGGGGGGTGGCAGAAAAAGCCCCCCCCTCGGGGGGGGGCAGGGGTGCTTCAAGGTCAGACAGACTGGATTCGAACCCTGCTGCATATTTACTAACCGTGCGACCTTGGTCATGGCTCCTTCTCTTCTGAGCCTCAGTGTCTCTCTGTAAGATGGGGGAACAGTGAATGTGTCCGAGGGCAGCTGCCCATGGGGAGGCCGCAGCAGAGCACCTCAGGACAGCTCCGGTCAGTGGGGAAACGCCTAGAATCTCGCTCTCGGGTCGTGGCACCAGGTGAACTTGTCCTCCTTGAGGTTGCCCTGGGAATCCGTGGAACAGATCCACCCTCTACCCCTCCTGGCCCAGAAGGAAAGGGACACGGGAGAGAGAAGTGTGATAGGCGGCGCTAGTGAGGCAGGTCTGAAGTAGGGCCTTCCCTGGAGAAGGTGGGTGGCCTATTCAGGAGCCCACAGGGACGCCCCGGGGCCTCTGAGCTGTGTGCTCAAGTACAGCGCCGGCTTGTGTAGGTGGCTTGGGGGACGTGTAGGTGGCATGGGGACATGTAGACGGGGTGCAGAGTGCACCGTTGCAGCTTAGCAAGGACACGAAGGACGCAAGGGAATTCGACTTATGATAACTTGTATCGTGTCCAGTGCTTTGCCTGAGACACCGGCTTAGCCTCCTAGCCTGAGGGGGGACAGTCAGGACCAAGAGGAACAGGAGGCTCCGCTGGGGAAAGGAGGGCTCGGGGGTCCTATCCGTGGAGTGGAGGCTCCTGGAGGCTCAGGAGGCCCAGGGAGGTCCTATCCATGGAGTGGGCAGGGCCACCCCAGCTGCCCTTTAGGTCTTCAAGGGCAACCCCTTGGGGCTTACAGAGCCCTTTGATGCATGCTCTGTCTTTGGGTCCTCGTGGCATCTGGGAAGGGCAGGGTGGGCAGCGACTGTTCTATGGAGAAACTGAGGCACAGAGGGGGACCCCTGCCTCGTTGCACAGCTAGTGACGTGGCTGGAGACCTCTATGCCTGCGTCTCCCCTGCTGGCACCACGGTGACAACGATTGGACTCAGTTTCTGTTTACCATGCTTTTGTCCCCTGGGCTCTAGAACCAGAGGGCCAGCCACGTCATTCCTCTAGGAAGCCACAGTGAGGCTGTAGTCACAGCAGCAGGGAGCACCGCTCTGCTGTCAGGGAAACGGGCCCTGAACCCACCTGAGCCTGAGGGTGGGGACTGGGACTCTACAGGCTTGAGTTTCACCTGGGTCAGGTTGCCCATCAGATGGTGTCCCGTGACCTGTGTCACCTGATCCTGAAGGTCCCCTCTTCCCCTCCCCCACCAAGGCCCTGAGTGGGAGCCATAAGAGGGGGAGGGGCACGGCTGGCTGGCAGGGGGTGCCAGGTTAGGGAGCTGGGGTTTGCCTCAGTGGCACAGGGTCTCAGGGGGTCTGGACCCTTCTTTCTGTGCCCCCTCCCCCAATAGG